GGGGGGGGGGGGGGGGGGGGGGGGGGGGAGAGGGGTTATAAATGTGAAATAACAACAAAAACAACAGCAAAAAAAAAGAAGTATAAACCAAAAAATTTCAGTAATGCTTTTCTTCGGCCTCTTCTCCCTCCCCACCCTTTCTTTATTCTGTTGAAACGAGGTTTAAAAGCCAAAAAAAAAGCAGAAAACAATAGAAAAACGAGAAAAAAAAAGGAGTATTAATTTTTAGTATCAATTTTGTTCACCTATAATATCGGTACAAATTTGCTAACACTAAATGCTCTCCTTCTTTCTACAAAAGAAAATGCTCAAATTTAATGTTTTTTTCCAGATCAGTTCAATTTTTTCCCAGATCAGTTGATGGTTATGACAATTTGCATATTAAAGTTGATCAATATTAGCCAATTTCATAAATTACTGTCAACTGTACACAACTAAATACTCTGATTTTGAAAAATTATATGTTGATAAATAAAGAAAAAACAGACAGACAAAAAGGTAGAAAGAAAATGAGACAAATTGATGATATCTGCTTAGATCAGCTGATCATTTGCCCTTATTTTTCTACTCAAATAATAAGCAGAATAAGGCAGAAAAAAAATATTGTCATAATACTAATCTGAATATTCAACTGTGTCTAAAGACAAAAAATTATGCTCTTTATTAAGTTGAATTCTAATCACTATTTCAATACATTTAAAACTTCCAATTTGACTTGTTTTTTTTTTTTTTGTTCTTATCTATTTTCTTCCGCACCCAGTTTCCATCCTAAATTGACTCTTTTGGGGTCCCTTTCTTCTCCAAATATTACAGGAAAACTTATAAGCAATGTTCAGAGTTTTTGTGTTTAGTAATTGTATCAAATGAATAAATACTTTTTAAGAAGACTTTAACTCTAACATATAACAGTATATTAATTGCTAAGTGAGTTGACTACCCAACTTTGTTATTTTATCAAACGTAATTCTTTATAAAATGACCCTGATCTAAGTTGACTTTTGGTTTTCAGGTAAATGACAGCTCAACAGTTTTAGACGCTGCTGTTTAGACAGTGAAAACAAAGTTTGAGTTGATGTATAAACTTGAAAAGTTTTTTTTGTAAGCGTATATATATCTTCTTCTTTTTTTTTTTTTGTACAATCACAGACCAATGAATGTAGAAAAAACGATCAAAACACGTAAAAACGGTAAAAAGTTGTACTAAGTATCACTGTCACAACCGTTGTAAATTTTTTTTAATACTTACCGAAATTTTACTCTTATTTTTTATTTTATTTTTTTTTTTTGCGTTTTTTGTGAAGTCATCAAAAACTGTATTTCTGAAGAAGAAAATACATTTGTTTTAGTTTGCTATACGACACAATTATTGCAGAACAGCGACATTTTTTAGAAATACATATACATGTATAAATTATATAACTCAAGCATATGTTTGATAATCCAAAAAAATTGCTTTCTTTCTACAATAGCTGACTATTATCCACCATAAAAGATCTATAAAGTTTGTATGTAGTAAACAGTTTGTGGTTATTCCTTTTTGAACAACATTTGAAGTAGAATTTTGATAAAACTGCAATTAACTTCACGAAAAATTAGTTATTTGGTCCTTGCTCTTCTTTAATCTCACTTGCTAACTGCTTTCGGCTTGATCTGCCCTTGGTTCTGTTCAGATACGACAAAATCAAGTCTTAGCAGCAAACTTACAAGATTCACTGACTTTTTTAAATAAAATGAAAATGAACAGTTTTTGTTATCGGTGCTCTTTAGGCCTTTTAAAATTTAAAAAGTTTTGCTCCTTTTTTTAGTTTTGAAGAAGAAGATGATACACCAACAAAACATGACGATGACGAGGAAGATTTTGTTAGCTGGGATAATGCCGCAGTTTTCACACATCCCATTCGAATTCCGATGACTGTTAAGCGTGGTGAGCACCAGTAAACCTCAAAAAACCTTCTTCTGGTTACTTCAACTAAAATATTTTTTTGGTTCATGCAAGTTAATCAAATAAAAAATATTTCAGACAAGTTTCTTCTTCTCTCATATATTCTTCTTTTAATGTCTCAAATTTTAAAAAAACTTTTTTATTAATTAAGGGCTGCAAATCTTACAACTTGTTTAGGAATCAGTAAAATTGATGTAATTTAATTTTTCTGCTCTAGGAACAGTACTTCTGAAACTCGGTGCCCGAAGTAAAGGCGATTATAATATTCAATTTAACTGTAATGGTGCTGGAAAAGTACAGTGTACATCTGATCAACAATCCCGATACACCTACAAGTTTCAAGTAATATATTCCTCAAACTCAGCCCCAACACCGTTTCGGCTACTGATCACTACCATTGGCATTCCGTCTAAACCAGCAAGTGGTTACACTCGAAAGGTAGAGTTTAAATTATAGTTAAATTCAAAAACATTCTTTAAAGAGTAAAAGAGTTTTTTTATTTAGTAATTTGGTTTTTAGAACTCATCTCTTTTATTTCATTTATTTGAATTTATAAATCTTTGGATAAACAACCAGTAATCTACGTTTATGATATCTGCTACAAATAATTCTCTGAATATATAAATATCTTCATTTTAACTGTAAATATCCTTTGTCAAAAAACTCAAGTTTTAGCACAAAACTTACAAGATCAGCTTTGCACCCCCAAAATATTCTGAAATTGCTGGTGAAATATATAAAAAGTATATGGATTTTGAAGAGGTGTTAACGCCGTTCAATACAACCATGATAAGTAAAGTTTTACTTAAAAAAGTTTTTTTGTTTTAGTTATAGTTAAAAAATTGCTTAGTAAATTTTTTTTTACTTTTAGAAATGATCAAAACACCGGTAGCTCCAGAAATCGCAAAACTTAATTTACCAGTTGAGAAAGAAACTCGAGTACCAAACGTACAGTATGAACCTGGGAAGTTTGAGCACGATAAATATGATGCTTATCTTCCAGAAGGCAGAGCTCTTGTAAGGACTGATTGCTAACACTAGTATTCAGCGTTTGGTCCAAAGTTTTCTTCTCATGAACCGCTTCCTTCTTTAAAATCTAGCAAATTGAGTGGTACAAAAAATCGTTTCCTTTAACAACTTAAACAAAAATTTTTTGGTTATAGAAAGCAACTGGATTGGCAATTTTGACATTCAACACTCCGCTTCACAGTTTACCACCAACTTTTGAAATACTAAATGACCGTGAACGATGGTTTGAGGTCGGTGAAGTTCACACAAAAAAGGTATTTACAATTTATAGTCCGTTAGCTACGGTTTGTTATTTCTTTATGAAGAATTACTCAGAGAAAATGTCATTAAATTTTAGGAGTCAAATTATTTTGCAACTTCCGTTAAGGTGTTGCAACGTGCCGGAACTGTGGTGAACTTTTCAAAAGTAAAAAATGGTTTCTATTCTTTTACAATACAGGTATGTCGTTACGTTACAAACTAATTAATCAATGAAAAATTTTTGCTTACTACTTCATTTAATAAAAATTTTTTGTTTTTCTTGCTGACTTACTGTCAAAAACCAGTAAGATTTACAGGTCCATAGAAGCTGAATTAATAAGTCGTTAATGCCCAATTTAATCTGACTGTGTTTTTTGCTAGCCAAATTAAAAATTGTTTTGCAGGCCAAACAAGACCGCTTTGTTTCATCAGCAACAGTAAATGTTGAAATTCTTGAAGTTTCTCCGAGAGCACATTATAAACCTGGTCGTGCAAAACGTGATGATGTACAAATAACGCGAAGCACCTCAACAACCAGCAGAACTCCTTATTACCAGTATGCAGCAAAGACAATATCACCTGAGGATTTTAAAACATTAAAGGAATCTAAGGGCAACGAATCTGATGAGTTTAAGAAATTGTTGCGAAACGCTAAAAGGACTAGTCAGGTCCGTAAATTACGTCAGTTGTCAGACGAAAGCGACCCAGAGTCATCAGAAGAATCTGATGATGATCCCCACTATCGTAACATAAGCAGTAAAGAGAGAGAAGGCGAGCGAGTATTATGGATGTCAAACCTAAATCGAGGAATGTATGGAACTTTTTCAACTGCAACACCCCCGCAAGTTAATGAAGAATTTCTGAAAGAGGTGATGGAAAACGAAGGAGATTACATTGATGACTCCTCTGGAGTCTTCCCTTCAAGTCCGTCGAACAAATCAGCCGTCACTACTGAGGGAGAAACAATTCAGTATACAACACCAGTAGGAAACATAGAAAAATTTGATCGAGGTGAACTTGCAAATACAGACAGCAATAGCACAGAGACGTCGAAAAGGATTGATACTGATAGACAAGAAGTAGAGGCATTAAGTACCGAGATGAAAACGCCATCATCAGAATCATCACCAACCAGTGTGGAAGCACAACTGTCGGAAACTCAACTCAACTCAAATGAAAGTCAGCCTTTAAAAAATCGACCAGACGGAATCGAAGCTCAATCATCGGAAGTTGAACTAGCTCCAACTAAAGCGGAACAATCAGAAACACAAACAACCATGACTGAGTTGCAAACAACAGAATCTCTACCAAAAACGACCGAGGTGCAACCACCACTAACCCAACCAACTGAAATTGAAACTCAACCACTGGAAATTAAACCAACCAGCGTCAAGGCAGAAACTTCAGAAACTCAACCAACTACGACCAGAGCGCAACCATCAGAAATTAAACCACACGGCCTAGAAGCAGAAACTTCAGGGACTCAATCAACTACAACCACAGCGCTTCCATCAGAAACTAAACCAACTGAGATCGACGCACAACCTCCAGAAGCCACCCCAACTGAAATTAAAGCAGAGCCATTAGGAATAGAACCAACCGTTACCAGGGCAGAGCCAGAAACTGAAACAGATGAGATTGAAGCTGGGTCATCAGAAACTTACTCAAACACCACTGAAGCAGAATCGTCAGAAAATAAAGCAATTGAGATTGAAGAACAGTTGTCAAAAACGCAGCCAAATGAAATTGGAACAAAACTGTTGAAAAATATACCAACTGTTACCGAGCCAGAACCTTCAGAAACTAAATTAGATAAAATTGAAGGGCAGCTGCCAGAAACTCGCCGAACTGAAACTAATGTAGAGCCATTAAGAATTAAGCCATTTGAGATTGAAGAGCGGCCGTCAGAGACTGAACCAACCGCGATTGAAAACCAGGTGCCAAGAACTCGACTAACTGAGGCTGAAAAGAACCCATCAGATAATGAATCCTCTGAGATTGAAGAGCAAGTTTCTGTAACTAAATCAACAGATGTTAAACAGCAAACACTCGGAACTACACCAATTGGGGTCAAGGGGCAGCCATTAAAAAGCCAAACACCTGCAACCGAAGGACAATCATCAGAAACTAAACTAGTGGCGATAGAAAGTTGGCCCTCAAGAACCGGACAAGGTTGGATAAAAGCACAACCATCCGAAACTCATTTGAATTTAGCGGAATCTCTACATCCAGAAAATGAAATAAATGATACTAAAATTCAGTCACCAAGCGTAGAGGAAATTGCTACTGAAAATCAACCGCTGGGAATGACAGTAACTACTGCTAGAAGTCAGACTTTAGAAAAAATGCCAAGTACTTTTGAGACGCAACCACCAGAGACAAAAGAAAGTGCTGACGAGGAGGAGAACGACGATCAAATGGAAAGCGGTAGATTAGAATACACCTCAGATATAGTAACCAAAACAACGGTGACTGTGTTGCCGGAACTTACAACTGTGGATTTGAGTGGGAGGGACGAATTACAGGAGAATGTTACAGAACCCTCACTCACATCAAATTTAGTAGGGACTGAAGACGCCCGTTCTGGAGAGGAAAGCAGGACGTTAGAAGAAAAAAAAACGGATGCAAAAATTGTTCAAGGTAGACGAGAAATGAATTTCCAAGAGATCTTCAAAGATGATGACGTTCAGGAGCATTTAGCTCAAGCATTTGCTCCAGTTGTGGAAAATGTTAAGAACTACAATACCAGTGAGTTTTGACATACCAGATATATTTGATACAGTTCTAAGGCAAATCATAAACGTTTCTTCCACTACAGATTTCTTTAAGCGTCAGTTACCCTAAATCTAAATGTAAATGAAGACTAGAAAAATCAAAGTTTTATGTCATAATGAAGATATTTTTCACTGCTCATGACTTCTGCAGCTTGTCATTGTTATGGCTATCGAACAACTTTTTAAATTGAGGCACTCCCTACGTAGGCCTATCTCGTAACACACTGAATTAACTGTGACCGTAATTAGCCACTTACGAATCACAGCTATAAACCAAACAGACTGTAACGCGACGGGCCGTAATCAACTATAACTTGAGATCTTTACCCTGGGTGTCTCCGCTTTCCTATACCTTGTTAATTTACATAACTTCTAGGGTCGCGCCTACCTACTATGTTGGAGTCTTTCCTTATACCTAACCCTTCTATCCTTACTTCAGCGTTTTACTTTAAAATAGAAAAATCTTGTTGACACTAGTCAGACACTCAGTGATATACCAAGAAATATTGAGTGTAAATAGAAACAATCGATGAACAGATCAAAAGCTGCCTACTGGGCACGTGAAAACACGTGACAACAGAAGGTATAAATACAGAACTGAGGTTGAGAAACCCCAAAACAATCAATATCGATCAGAAGAAACAATACTGAATAAGGGCACCTGAGTTGACCCAAACATAACTACGCTGAAAGAACCACTAAATAATTTTCTAATTAATGCCTCTTTTATACCTGGCCTCCGTCAGCTAAGGTGATCAGTTTGAAGCCCATCTGGAAGCTCTCCTTCTTAGGAAGCTACAGTGACCTTAAATTGTGCTCACGGTGCCTTTCGCGAGCGGTCGCGACAGTCGTCATTGTAGAACGATCTTTAGTGACAGTCAGTGGAAAAGAGGGAAGGGGAAAAACAAAGTGAGAAAGGGAGGGTGACAGAGTTTTATCAGGAAAATGATATGAAATACGTCATTCTTTATCCATTGAGGCTCTTACGGACTACACATATGCCTGGAGATTTACAGTTATAGGTGCTGCACTTGACATCTGCAGGTTTTTTTAACAGTATAGTTTTAACCACTCTGCACTGGCTTATCTAAATACTGAAATCTTTAGAGTTATATTTAAATCTGAAATCACCAAATGCTGGCGAGCTGACAGTCCCAGAAAATCTTCGAGTTGGTGACATTGTACCTGGATTGGAAATCACTGTTTCAGCTGTTGATATGGTCTGTCTTATTTTGCAACGAAGTACATTCTTGAAGCTACTTTTACATCAATCACGTCAAAAAATTCTGCAAATTATGAGAATTTATTACAGGATCCAAGTGATTTGATTATCATATCTGTTAATACGACAGCTTTCGTGCCATATCCACGGTTTATGCAACCAGGTAAAACGGTCTTCCTTGTCATAAACGATGCGATGCAGCTGGACTATGAAGCACTTCCCAGAAGTTTTCCGGTTGAGGTCGATTTCCAATTTTCTTTTTTTTTTCCTGCTGTCATTGATGATTAAGAGAAACCGTCTTTATATGTGAGACTGGTCAGAGGATAATTTATCTTTAATACGTCATCTTTTCTTCAATAATACAGATTTTTTGTGTTGTAGGTGAAAGCTTCACTGCGATCAAAGCCTTATGTATTTGCAACTCGAGCCCTCCAAATTCGTAAAAAAGATGAAAGCGACCAGTTGCCAGTGTTCAGCGAAAATGCTTATGATTTTCACGTTGCAGAATCAAGCATTTCTGGACAAAAAGTTGGCCAAGTTGAAGTGTCTGATAGCGATGAAAGTGACCAAGGCAAAATTCGCTTTCGGCTTGTTGGACCTGGAAGCGAACTGTAAGTTTAAACGAATGAGTCGATCATGAAATTTTTTTAAAAGCTAAGGTTTTACCTGAATTAACGATACAAAAATATTTACAGACTTTTTAATTACATGTTCCTACCACTTGCAACTCTAGTCTGTGAGGAGCTGTTAAGACTCTTTTATGTAACGCTACAAAAAGAAATAATGTTTACGCAGGTTTACCATCAACGGTGGAACAATAAGCGTCTCATGCCCAACAGTTCTGCCGTGTTTGGACAGAGAAAGGACGGATTCTTACCACTTACTTGTTGTTGCTACGGATGCAGGTTAGCATAAGACTCAGAAGCGGCACAGTTTGCTCAATGAAAATTATTGCTTTCGCCGTAGGACAACATTTAAGAATGCAGTGTAATTGCTTCTGTAGAACTAAATGTTGAAAGTAAATATTTTTAAATAACCTTGTATTCTAAGGATTTGAGGGTTTGTCATCTACGCAGATAGCTTGGCTGCCAATACTAATTTTTGTCGCGTATTAAGAGGAACTCAAAGCTAATTGAAACGGCATTCAAGCTCTTTAATCAGCTGAGCAACAAGTTGTATACCACGTTACGTTAAAATATCCCAGATATCTTTATTTTTAAGCTTCAGAAAGAAAATTAAAACGAAATGGATGAAGGTCTGAGCAAAGTAGAGAAAAATTTTTCTAAAAAAAGCTTCTGAGGGTTGCTCTTTATGCCATTCAAAACAGCTTCAAAATAGCATTATTGGGACTTTTATACTTCAACGCTGACAAAACCCTGGAACAGTAACATTTTTTAGATAAAAACCAAAGATTAGCTTCACCAGTTTAAGATTTTTGTTTTTTGAACTGATATTTGCTTTCTTAAAGCGAATGAAACAGTTTAGTTGTGCAGAAAATCACTTGTCCAGGTCTTCAGTCAAGTTTCTGCGTATGATGAAGTTGTGATTCTAAATGTAGCTCTCCAATGTAAGATGACAGTAATTTTTTGATAGTGCATGTTAAGTAAATTTCCATCGAGTTGAGGAAAAAGTAAGAAAAGCCAGTCATTTTAAACACTCTGCTAGTTTTTTTTTTTGGTTTGGGGTAGATGGTGGGTTAAGAGGTAATATGATCGATATCCTGTAGTCTCGAACAGGACTGCTCAGGAAAGATAGCTTTAAAACCACCGGTTTTCAGTCGGAAAGCAGTTATGAAAACTACAGATATCATGTTTCATTCAAAAATACTGCTTGCAGCAATTGTTATCCTGTTGTCAGTATTTTCCTTTTTTATTTGCCAAGAGTTCCTTGAGAGCCGAAATAAACAAAAACCTTATTAGTTTACTAATATTAAAAGTTATTTTGGAAGAAAAAAAAGGACCAATCAGACGTAAGTAATGTTACTTGATTGTATCAAAATATCTTCAAAATTTGCTGAAACATTTGTAATCAATCTCAAATGTTAAAACTTTTGCACTCACCCCTACAGCTCTCACCTGACTCGCTTCTTCAAGCGGCGGTCTACAAGACCGCCTGTTAAGCACTAGACCATAACAAATGAAAGATTTCAACAGCTATTTTCGTCTTCATTTGGTTTTTTGCTAATTTCTGACATCAAATAGTCTTCTTTAATTAAATTAGTTATCTATTCTAAAGCTTAGCTATCAGCGTTGAGATTTTTTAAGATTTCCGGTAATTATAGTGAGGAAACAGTTGCGAGGAGCAAAGCTAATGAGCAAATGCTGATAGTAAAACTGTGTAAGTTATAATCATTCAAAAACGATGAAAGCTAGGTTAACAAAAGCACTTTCTGTGGCAATAAACTCGAAGCCTCTGTTTTCAATGGTGTAACGTAAAAAATTCTACTGTGTTGGCTAACTTTTAAAGTAAGGGTATCCGTATCCTGTTTAAAGGGCTTCCAACATGAAAAACTGGTTTTGGCCAGGTTGTTTGTTTTATTTGTCGCTCTTCAGGTTTTTTAAGTTTTTTTACTTTCTAAATAAAATTTTTATCTCTATAGTGCTGCTTGTGATTACTACCGTTAATAACCAGGCCTACCTTTTTGAAACAGTTTTACTCTAAACTTTGCTCTCCTTATTGATTTTAAGTGAATATTAGGGTAGTGGTCTTTTTGAGCGATGTATATAGGCGATTAAAGTGAGTGAGTACGAGAGATTGGTCTTTCTGAGCAAAAAAACTTCTGCAATGGAAAAAGTGGTCTTGGCTATTTGGTATCAGCGCTGACAAAAATAGATTCAGAAAAATGCCTTTACAGGGGGGTTAAGTTCTGTGCCAGTGCCAGTTCGAATTACCATTGATGACGAGAATGACAACGGTCCAATATTGGAGTTGTCGCGGAATGATATTCAGATAGCAGAAGGAAGAATAGTCCGCCCATTTCTAGTAAAGGTACTTAACAAAATTTATATTTTTTTAACCTTTAAGTGTTTTAAAATACATCTTTTCGAGAATTGAATTTGATGCTCAAATAATGTTTCGTAGTATTTTGACTGGTCAATTTTTGTTCCACAATTATTGCGCTCAAGCACTTTAGTTCAGGTTCTTGATTTTGATCAGTATCCAAATAACATTAACGACTTAACAACCGATGGCAATGCTTCATCATTTGTTGCACTGGAAGAAATCAAAGAAAATTTATATTATGCCAAACTTACTGCTCTACCAATTGCTGGGCAGTATATTTTGGAGCTGAATGTTCGTGACCCATCTGGGGCAAATGAGGAATCATTGGAAGCTCAAAAAAAGACTGTTATAGTGACTGTTCAGGTAAACTCGCTTGCAAAAGACTTATTAAAGCTGAGTAAATGTGTAGTATTTAATATAGTCTAGATAAAAAACTGTTTTCTATAGATTATTTATAGGGATTCTTTTTAGAACACAGTGACAAAAGCGCATTTTAAAAGGGCGAAATATGAACGTACTGTTAACAGTGAGAAGCTACACAAAGGTTTGTTTAACTACGGTTGATGCTTTTTTCCGACACGAAGAGTCATTACACGAAGTTTAGTTTAATAATAGTTACAAAAAATTAAGGTGAAGTCATTTTATATTTCAGGCAATCCACTATTGCAACCAGAATTTGAAGGCGCAGGCTTTGAAAGTATACGGTTTGTTATTTTACATGGAGACCCTGGTTGGTTGATGCTTGACCAATATACCGGTAATGTATTTGTCGGCGACGTTCCAGCGTGAGGAAGATTTCATTTCAAAATATCATTTCTTTTCTGTTTCATGAAAATTTCATTATTTTTTTATTTTTTGACATGCACACTTCCGTATGTTGTAACTTCTTTTTAAAAATTCCTTTGCGCTTTTGCCAAAGTGCTTTAAATGTACTCTCAAATGGCTAACTCCGTCATAATTTTTACGGTTAGCATAATTTGAAAATTACTCTGTGATGTTGTTTTACCTTATTCATTTATAGTTTCGATAGCAAAATTTTAATTGGTGTGTTTTAGAAGTGGCGTTGAAGCAGGCCGTTATGATGTTACAATAGCTGCTGTGAATCGGACAGATAAGCGCGTTTTGGCTGAAACGGAATTCTCATTGACTGTACAGAGCGGTAGTGGGATGTTGAAAGTCTTCCAAAGAAGTTTTTATACTGCAACAGTATTAAAAGATAAGTTTAAATTAGTATCTGTAGAAAGTTACTTTAGATTTATTAGGATTTCCACAACATTTTGATTTTTGATTTCGACGATATAGAAGCGACTGTTGATTGATTTAGATGTGAAAGACAGTCGTACTGTAATTGATATCTTTGGTAAAGGTAATAAAAATGATAAAACTGCGGTTTTGATTGTGAATGGAACTGTATCTGCGATAGATGACAAACTTCATCCAGTGGAAGTCGGAACGGTAAGATTATCATATTAGGAGCATTCCTATTGTATTTTGGTCGTCTGCTTCACGTTTATTGTTTATCTTATTATTTTTCAGTTATTCACTTAGTGACCAATTAGTTGAGAATAATTTCTGTTGTTTTTGCTCTTTTTTCATTGCCTGAGATTGCACAAATTGATGCATTTTGATCATAAAAGTAAATATCTAAAATGTTGTGTGCGAAATTACTTTTAGAATTCTGTCTCCTACAAAAATGGTGAACTTGTTCTTGATCTTGCAAAATTGCGTAATATACGGCTAATCAATTTTCATTTGGCTTCTGAGAAAGATCCTAGCGATAATGGTAAGTTTAAAAGTGTGCAGATAAATCAAAAGGTTTTATATTTATTGTATATTTTAATAGTCAAGACTTCAAACTTTGTATGTACAATTTTCCACTAATGAATATTTTAGCAACTGTTATCATTTACCTGAGTTCGGATCCGGAAAAGGTTGCTGCAGCACGTAAGGAAGAATCTCGTCCAGTATTTATTTACCCTTGGAAGCCCGATCTAAACATTATACAGGTGTAGTAAGTCAAATTTGATTAAATTTCTATTTTAGAGATACAATAGAATTGAATGCAAATTATGTAATACTAGGCTTCTAAAAATTGTTTTGCTCCTGTCTAGTTATTTTGTGTGGGTAAATTCTAAAATGTTTCTTGAACAAAGTTGCCATTTGAGGTCAAATTGGCAGAAGAATCGCCTGCAGGCTACGTACTATTTTCGCTGCCAGCGTATGACCCGAGTGATGGTAAACCGGTTAAAAATCTGCGTTTAAGTGGGCAAATGGCAGAATTCTTCGAGCTTAATGCTTCTAATGGTTACCATTCAATAAGAAAATTATTTAGGAAATCTCACCTACTCTTTAGTGCTTTTTCTTCTTTTCTAGTTGTTCTCTCTGTTTTTTCTCTACCAAATGATGTGAAGAGTTTCAGGTGACATAGTGGTTGTTCGAAAACTTGACTATGAAACGGTGAAACCAGAGAAGAGGATTTTTGAGTTGGAGCTTACTGCTGGCGAAAGCCCTTATGAAAGTACTGCAAAACTTCGAGTGGAGCTGATTGACATTGACGATAATCCGCCGAAGCTGATTCCACTAGAAAAATACGATCTCGATGACGTAAGCTAATGCATAAACAGCTTTAATTAGTTCTTTCTCTAGCTGTATTTTTTTTGAGTTAGAAAAACTGCTGGAAAGAAAACATGGAGCATAAAACGCTTTGTAGCAATTTAAAGCAGTTTAATTATCTAAATTATTGTTGAGACTTATCGATTGTGCGGTAAAGCTCTTAGCCTACTAGAAAAGTCGAATTTTTTGAAGGGCAGGTTGAGTCAAAAAAAAGCACCATTTTTTAAAATAGGAAGCAGATTTATTCAAGGCGTTGATCAAATATCACGGATGAAGCAGAAAAGAAAAAGAATTAGGAGAATCATCAAAACCTGTTTACCGTTACAAAATTTTTAAATTTTATTGAAACACAAAACACTGTCAAGATTTAGTTGTCTCTAAGAACAGTACTTTAAATATAAGGTATCTTTTCGTAATTTCAGCAGTAGCGAATCCTTAAAGATTTCAAAAATGGTCGGGATAGGCTATGCGATTTTAGATTTATATGGACTACTGAAAAATTGGATAGTACAATTTTGAAGATGTCTCAGTTTTGACGTAAGCAAAAAACTAGATAAATTTGGTTTTGTCAGTCTTTCTTATTCTCAGCTTCTATTTCAAATTAATCAGTCACATTTCCAAAACAATTAATGAACAAAGTTTTAGGACTGTCAGCTGTATAATTTAATGGCCTATTTAGACTTAACTTAAACTGTTATTTTATTGATTAGCATTTATTTAGATCTTGGATTGTAGCTTGAGTTAGGCCAAAAATTCACCAGTAGAAAGAGCTTTTACTGCGTTAAAAACTTAAAAATATTTGTTGATGGTCAAATTGGTTTATTCTGCATACTAATATTATAATTTTTTATACACCTAATAGCCACCTCAGTCACTTTTACTCAAACATTTTTAATGAGCGCCAGGTTAAGTTAAAAGTTATCTTTTATTTTTGAGGTCACTTCTGAAAGCATATAAATTTTTTGGAGGAGAATGGAACATTGGCAGGACGTCTCCTGCTTTACCAGTTCCGAAACCACAAGCAAATCTGCTTCTTAAATTATAATTGCCTGCAAAATGATATTGACTCTCTGAACTATTTTAACCTTCTTTTTTGTTTTTAGCTGACTATAGAAGAGAACGCCAAGCCCGGGACTGTACTTTTCGAAGTTTCAGTATCTGATGCTGATTATTTGTATGGCAGACGAGATATGTATAAGTATACTTTAAGCGGGGAAGGAGCTAATAATTTCCAAGTTAAAGAGGTATCTAACACAACTAAGAGTTTTTGCAACATATTGCTGGAAGTACGCATAAAAATTGCAGTCAATAACTTGTTTACTTTAAATTTAAGGTCAATAATACGGTAGCAGTAATTGTATCTCCAGCTACAGACCTTGATTATGGCAAATTCAAAACTATTCTAATGACGTTAAAAGTAGAAGATTCTGGCGGTAATTCCGATACGATCGGGGTTGGTTGAAACTAAAAAACTTTCCTTGTTATTTCCTCTCTTCTGAAGTTCTTCGTCAGCATTTTGTAACCCTTTCTGATCCATCGCACCGTTATAAAGAAATCATTTACCAGCGTGCCCTTCCACCAGATCATTTCCGCCTTCTATCCCTGACCTTTAATACTTAGTTCTACTCTTACCTGTAGCTTTATGAAGCCATAATAAGCCAGAAAGGACGTATGGGAGCAGTTCTAAATTTTTTATCAAAAAGCAAAAAAAAAAAAAGGGGAACAATGCGTTTTTAGGAATTCCGTTAGTTGCTCTTATCAAAGTATTCCTAGAATTTTTCTAGGATTCCCAAAACAGCAGTCTTAAAAATCATTTTTAAATCTCAAACTATTAAATCCTCTTTTAAAACCTTCATTGCCTTATTAGCGCCTCAAAGTCTTCCATCGCCTGCCTGGCACCATTCTACTCAAGGGTACGATATTACCGACTTTAAGAATCACAACTGTGAATTGTAGATTCTGAAAAAGACAGTGTATCCTGAATGGGAGACGACATTTTAACATTTATATAACAAAGTTAAAGTGGCAATAATGTTGCGAATTTTTAGGCTACAGTGTCAGTGCTTGATGCTAATGACAATGCTCCAATTTTTAACCCCCGTGAATATAGTGCGGAGGCGGTTGAGAATTGGCCACCAGGAACTGCGTTAGCTGTCGTTATGGCTTCTGATGCAGACAGTGGAGCAAATGCAAAGATTCATTACGAATTAGCTCATGGGGATATAGAATGTATATTATTTATAATTAATGGCTTTTTCGTTGAATACATTTTTGCAAATAGACCTACCGCACAACGTTACCTTACAGATTTTAAAGTTGACAATGAAAGTGGCATTGTTTACACTACTCGGTCTCTAATGGGGCTTGCTAGAGCTCATCCTTACGAGCTAATGATTACTGCAACGGATTCAGGTAACAGTTTTTTACTGACGTTTCTATCTGTGCAAAATGCAATTTGAAGTTTTCTACAGAATTATCAGACTATCAGATGTTTATGTGCGTGAAATTAAAAAAGTTTTTTTAGTGTTACTGGTTTTAAGCAGCACAGAATTATTTTAATGAAAATGTGACAAAATAAAAGTATAGATGAATAAGAAGAGTTGAAATAATTACATCTGATGCTATAAAAATTGTTGAATGGTAGTTATTCTTCCTGTTATAAAACTTATGATATAAACCAGTTCTCGTTCTCATCAACATTTTTATAATATTGAATTATAGGAAGTCCTCCTCTCTCTACCTCGACAGTGATGAAAGTGCGTATTATCGAGTCTGCATCGTTGTCTAAACCTGGTGATGATAAAAGAATTCACTTTGTCGCTCCTAGTGTTGGGCAAGTAATCGATCTAGACGAGGTATTATAGCTCTGATTGTGATTATGATCGCAGTATTTAGAATTTACTTGACCAAAATTTCAACATATCAGTGTTATTTTTATGCAGTCAAACTCTTATTCAACTTGCTGTTTTTTTCTTATGAAATTGAATTTTAATACTGTTGACAACATCTGCCTGATGTGTCAAAAAAATAGAAGAAAATTATCAAGAATTGATAGAAGCAGAAGGTTAGGAACGGGCTAAGAATAGAAGTCGCTTAAAATACTGTTCTAAAGTTTTTGAAGGCCACTAGTTTTGGAAATATTTAAACCAAAGAATTTTAGAAAAATTTTTGTTTAACAAGCCGTTGTAGAAGTGAATGAGTGGTAGGGGAGTGTTAAAGGCTTCTATTAGTATCTAAGATTACAAGATATTGAGTGATAAAGTCTGCCTTCAACTGATTTTCCAAATGTCATCATTATTGGCCTAAAATTGTTTTAAAAAAATCAGAGCATAAAATTTTACGAGATAGGACGACTAGCGGCCATTTAAAGGCTAAATTTTTGTTTCAGAACATTCCACCAAATCAACGAGTTTATACTGTTGAAGCACATATCGGAGACTTTAGTGAACAGTATGAAAGAGAGATAAAATATACAATTGAGGTCAGTTGTGAAATTTTTAAAGAACTTTTACATATTGTGATAAAAGGTGTTTCTCAACCGCAGTATCAGGATTTGGTTTTATGGCTCTCCTAGCAGACATAAAACAAAGACTTCTTCCCAAAAAAACAGAGCGCTACACCCATACCTTTTCTTCGACACTCAGTTTTATGCATTACGAAAATCTGAACATAGGATCATACAATAGTTTTGAAATACAAAGATTACTAAGTTATTTTGAGAAATGTTGGAACAATTCATGAACTTATTCATGCATCTGCCTTTTTTTTCTTTTAAAAAACTTCACTTAGAATTTTCTCGAGTTTCATCAGTATTTTTGACTACAAGTTGCGAAACTCAATTTCCTGCAGTTTGGAAACATTAAAATCAGTTTGGCTATCTAACACTTGAAACTTGATGTTTAGCTTCACAATAATTTGAGTGTTTGGGGAAATAGTAATTGTTGAGAAGTCAAAACTAAGCAAAATAACGGTTCAAACTTTGTGTATCAAGACAGATATTGTACGAGCATTGTAGCGAACTCATTGATGCCAGGAGATGTAGCCTAAAGCTGTTCAATTCAAAAATTTTATCTGTTTTATCGCAGAGAGCAATGAGCAGTTTACGGAAGCGGATAAAAATTTTGCATTATAATGCTCTCAAAGTTAAATATTTTGATGACTTTTTCAGCTTCTGCTTTTTTTTTATTTTGCCAATAATTGCTGCTTTTTTGCACTGTACTTTTTTTTTACAGTTTTTTACAGTTGTTAGTTGAGTTTTACCGCATCTGAAGCACGTTGCTTCATCAGTTTATCTTTTATTTTTAGTTAAGAAATTTAGATGAACAAGTGATATTTAAATTTTTTTTTATTTATATTTAGTAGTGCTGATATTGGCCAAGTTACAGACAACATTAAAGCTGTAGATAAAGAAGAAAAATTTAGAAAGTTCTTAAATCTGCAATCTTTTTTTTTTGTCATAATAAAAACTTTATGGTAATCTTTTTCTTGAAACCAGTCTTACAAGAGTTTTTGGTTTTTGCAGCCTATATTGGGGCAATAATCATTTGACATTTGACACTTACAAGAGGATCTTGAGAGAAGGAAAAAAAGCGATAGAGCAATGCAGCACATTTGTAAGAAGGAGTTTTATAGTATATT